GGGGGAGGGGCGGGCTGGCAACAAACGGGTCAGTCACAAGAGGCCCAGGCCTGCCACAGAGTAGGGAGGGTGCCAGGAGCGCTGTGGCTGGAGGTTTGAGACTGGGAGGCCAATGGCCAAGAGCCCCACTGTTCCACCTGCTCCTTCCGCAGCTGTGGACGCCCTGAAGCCCCTTAGTCCTCTGCATCAACCTTGTCTTTGCTGGGGGGCAGATCACCCTCAGTGCAGTGTCCCCTCCTATGCAGGTAACAGCAAAGCAAAGTGAAAAGGAAGAACAGGTTCAAAGCTGTGGAGGGGTGTCTCTGATGGTGTGGCAATATGCCAATGCCAGCCTCAGGATCCTCGGGCACCTGCAGCTTCCAGCCTTTTCCCCCTAGGCTGCTTCCCTACCTTTTCCTGAGAGTCAAAGAATGAGTCCTCCAGGGCCCTCAGAGAACCACTGGATCCCTCTGGATCAGTGTGGAGGGAAGGCTGTCACTGGGCTGCTCTTCCCCTGCTTTCTCACTTGCTCACTCACCAGTTGGCTGGCTGACTGGGACCACCAGACAGCCTCACAGCAAAGCCTATCTTCCAACTTGTCATGAGAGGTCTTTAGATGGCCTTTAAAGAGATGCAAATGCCACAGCTACAAGGAGCTTGTCTGAGCTTCCAGCCACCCCTCCCCTCAATCCCAAGCCCTCTGGCCTCAGTAGTCCCTAGATTGTCCCCATCCAACAAAGCTCAATGTATGAGGATGCAGAGGACTGAACATGTTAATCAACTGTACCCTCTGTTCCCAGCAAAGAGCAAGGCAGAAAAACAGCTTCCCTGCAGCAAAAATCGGTCCTACCCACCAAGGAAGCTGGCCCTGGACCACGTGGTCGCAGTTCCACAGGCCATTGCTTTTACTGTACTGAAAGTTTCTTGTGAGCCCATCAGGCCACATGTAAGAAGACGGATAAGAATCTTACTGGTTTTCTCAAGAGATGCTATTAAGAATGTCACTCACCTTATCAAAGCATCCTCTTTGGAGAACCCATGGGAGAATTCTCTGGTCCCAGTAATAGAAACAGCTGTTTGAGCAGCCAGTTTGTTTTTACATTATAGGTACTGGCAAAACTGATAAAAACTTTCCTTTTTGCTTTGGCTACTAGGAAGCCCAGGGCCAAATCTGCAGTCCTGCACAATTAAAACGTATAGGACAGAGGAACACTCACCTTCTATACTCATCTTACCCTCGACTTCCTCTTACTTTTCTTTTACCTTTTCTGCCTTGATTACTTTTATATAAAATCTTGTTACACTAAAAGTTATCTTGGAAAGATTGCTCAAATCACTTTTTGGAATAAAAGAGAACTGTTAAAAACAGAATAAAATAATAAATAGGAAAAAAGCTCCTAAATTCAAGACTTCACTCCAATACCCAAAGAAAACAAAACCTGTTTACTGGTACTTATAAAAAGCAAATGCAGATGCTTATGTCTGTACCTTTCTACTCAAAGTGTCGCCCATGGACCAGCAGTGTCCACACCTCACAGCTTGTTGGGAATACATTCTCAGGCCCCACCAAGAGCCTTGGAATCAGAACCTGCATTTCATTAAGATCTCCAGGCAACTGGTAAGCACAATAATGTTTCAGAACACCAGGTGAGTACGCCTGTTTTAGCGCCCTGAAAAGCAACAACTTTCATGGCTTTACAACCATTCATCGAGCGCCTCTCTTATGCCAGGCACACAAAGAAGGAAATTTACGGTCCTCGAACTTAACGGCTTTCCAACAGGACACCAGAAAAAAAACCCACACCTTGTGGCAGGTTTTTAATGGCTAATTATAGAATGTCACAGCTGGAAGAGAGTCCCCAGAAAGAATAGTATTCCTCAAAAAGGATTCAAGACTCATTGTGGCTATTCTACAAGCAGAACCAGAGACCAGAATTCTCCTATGATAGTTTCAAATGAGAGGAGGACTGGTATTTCTTTTGGAGACTCCAAATAATTTAAGAGAAACTGATGTGCCAAGGGGACCTACAGCTGTAAGGAAATATACAACTTAGCCTGTTTCCTGCACCAGAAAGTGGTCCAGAAAAACCTGGAAGTGAGGCAACCTCCCCTAGGGGTTGTATCTGCCACCTCCAGGGCTGGCAAATCTGTCTAGAGCCAACAGGAAGGCTTCTTCCACTTTTCACAATGTTTGTGAACAACTTTAAAGACAGGAGACAGTTTCTTCATGAGAAGAGACTTAAGTTATAAGGAGAGACAGCGGCGCAAGCCCACCTCCACAAGCTCCGCCTCTCTGGCTGGACCACCCCTCCCACGGACTTTCTCTCAGCCACATCAGGCCGAGTCTGTCTTCCTCCTCTGCTTTTGTATGACCATTCTGAGTAAGAGACCACATTAAGAGTGTATCAAATACTACTGTAATACTTGGCCAAATTGTTATTTGGCACCTCATCAATCTCTAGTGGATGGTAGGACTACATGCATAAACTATTAATCTTCTATGGAATTCTTTTACTGGGGGGTGGGGAGAATCTGGAAAGGTTTAAGCAATTTTTTAAAATCAAGGAGCAGATAAAGACCAAAGGCAGATAGACCCTGACGGGTGAAGCACTACACAGATATACTCAGTATTAGTGAATCTGTTCAAGTCCCTGTTTATTTTTATCCTAACAACTCCTACAGCAACTGCACATTTTCTTTGTGCCAGGAACTATGATCAGCACTTTATGACAAGATTTTATTTAATATTGAGAACCCATGGAGTAAATACTATTCTAACTCCCATTTTACAGATAAGGAAACTGAGACAGAGTTAAATAACCTGTCCAGGGTTAGTAACACGACAGAGCTAAAGTCTGATTTGACTTCAGAGAGCCAGAGCTCAACTGTCTCCCTACCCTGGAGGAATAACTGGCCCAACAAGTTAAAGGAATTAAAGCGTGTTTTTTTCCTTTTGTCAAGTTTTGGCTACACTGCTGATTTTTTGTTTTCTTTTGGCTTCTTTCAATCACAGAGTGCCTTCTATGTTCCAAGCATTGTGCTAGGGGCTGGAGACACCACGATACAGTGTGCTGTGTAAAAATAGAGGCAAGAGAAGGTAGCCCAAGGCGGGAGTGATTATTAGTGATTATTACTGGAGTGGGAGGAGAGTTATAAAAAGCTTCCAGAAGTGGTGAGTTCTTTGCTCTTTTCTGTGCTGAGTGGAACTGACTGACCAGGTGATGGGGGAACAAGGATGAGAAATGGTGACCTCTACTTCTTTTAACCAAGCCCTTGACCCTTGACGCAACACAGTTTGTAATGCATTTTAACAACGCTCTTCATACTCTGGATCTAGGAACCGTTAGGGTCTTCATGAACGCTACCCATCTTCGTGCCCGCCTCCCTCCACCCCGCAATGAATTCCCAGTGAGGTCTAATTTACTCTGGCACTGGCAGGTTTCCGCTCATTTTTATTACAAACAATACCCCAAACCCAACCGGATAATTATACAGGGGCTGAAGGAGGTTTTGGACACGCGCCCCTGGGCTGCCGAGAACTGTTCTAGTGATGACGGCTGGAAAGGGTGGCCCTTCTGGGCAAAAAAGTGAGACATCTTGCTTTTTCCCCTCGGCAGCTGGGGACTGCTGCATTCAAGGCGACAAGAAGGCATCCTTCGTCTCCATCTTTCCAGTGGGAATGACCCTGAGCTGGTGAGACAGGGTCTCCGCAGTGGGCCGGATCGGGAGCAGCGCGAGCCCCTTACTCCGGGGCATCGGGGCCTCGGCGAGGGCGCAGGGTAAACAGGGCACGCCCGGGCCCGGGCCGAGAGGGAAGCGAGCCCCCGCGGCCACGGCCGAGCAGCTGCTCGCACGGGAGGACGAGGACACGCGCGCCCCCACCTCCGCCCGGCCTCGCCGCGCTCAGGCCCTTCCAACCGCGGCCTCCCACCCCGCCCCGGCTCCGCGGTCGCGGTCGCGACCCGCACCCGCCGTTCCGCCTGCAAAATGGAGGCGAAGGCACGAGGCGCCCCCGCCCCCAGGCAGCTTTTGTGCCCCTCCCGCGGGGGACGCGAGGCGCGGCGGCCCGGCAGGGCCTCGCAGACCCAGAGAGACCGCGCGGCAGAGGGGGCCGGGCCGCCGGGGACCCGGGCTGTCCGGCCGCGGCCCCCAGCGCCGCGGCCCCTCGGACACCGCGGCTGCGCGCCGGCCACTACCTACCGCAGCTCGAGCGCTTCGGACGCCCCAGCCGGGCCTGCAGCGGTGCGCGCGGGCCCAACAGCCCCATACGGCGGCCCCAACGCGGGGGTCCCAGATGCAGACCACGGCCCTCCCACCCGAGCCTGGAACGCCTGGGGCGGGGCCGAGCGCCGGCCACGCCCTTGGGGCCCGCCCTCCTCCCGGGGAGGCGCCCTCGGGGCGGGGCGCCCAATCCCAGCGCTCAGTCCGGAGGCTCGGCCAATGCGCGGCCCGCTCCTGCAAGAAGAGCCCACCCCTTGCGCCTCCGGGCCTATGAGGCCGGATCTTCCTCAAGCGCCTGCCTTCCCTTGCCTCCCGCGCTCGCGGCTCGGGATCGCGTGTTCGCGGCGAGCGGGGTCACGCAGGGGCGCGTCGTCCCGGGCGGCGCGGAGGGGTGGGTGCCGGCGGTCGGCGCGCGCTCTTTCCGTCCTGCAGGCCGCCCCTTGAGTCCTGAGTTCATTCATTCCCTTTGCGCGGGGCGCACGGCTGGGTCCAGGCGCGCCGCTGCGGGGAGGCGGTCCCACGCTCTTTTCCTGTGCGTCTGTTTACATTCGCATCTAAACAACCGGGCGGCGTGTAACCCAGGCCCGAACAGGTGCCGTCGGGCAGAAGCCCCCGAGGAGGGCGAGGTCCCTAGGCCAGGAGGTTTGGGATGGCTTCAGGAGGGAAGTGGGACCTAGGCAGGCCCGAAACGGATGGGAGGGGTGTGAATAAATGAGCCGGGAGCTGCTTAGCGGGTTTCTGATTTTTTTTTTTTTTTTTTTTTTAGCCTGGTCTGATGGGAAATTGGTGTCGGAGGCCAAGGGGAAGTGAGAGCCAGCCTGTGGGAGGCTAAGATGCACGTCCCCCTTTCACCACAACCCCTCCCCTCCGCCCCTGCCAGCAGTGAGGCCTAGGAGCCTAGTGACACAGCTCTTCAGCTCTTACTGCTCAGGGGAATCCTGGGGCCTAGAGGAACTACCACCGGGCGGGGCTGGGGAGGGGGTCACATTGAAACCCCGCGTTCCTCCTTTCTGACGCTTTTCCCAGCAGCAGTTTCAGCGATCTGGCTGCTGTTGAATGCCTCGCCAGGTCATAAAACAGCTGTAGGGAGGGTACACGTTCTTTCAGTTTAGGAGATAAAGACTTGGGTTTTCCTGAACCTGTCATGAGAGCTCGAGGTTTTGTCTAACGCGGGAGTCACAAAGTTTTTACAGCAAGAGCAGAAACTACCCCACAGATGGTGTGGTTTGGGCAGCACACTGATTGTGTTGTGTTTTGTTTTTTTGCTGAGGAAGAGTCCCCTGAGCTGAGCTGACATGGGTGCCTGTCTTCCTCTGTTATTTTATATGTGGGTCACTGCCACAGCATGGCTGACAAGTCTAGGTCCACACCCGGGATCAGAACAGGACTGCTGAAGCAGAATGCCATGGCTGGCCCCACGCTCTTGTTTTTTAATAAGAATTTAAATCCCACAAGCACCACTTGCATATTAAACCAGCCAGCCTCTTCACACATTTGTTACCTGCCTGACATCTGACGGCATTCATGTTTGTGACCCTGGGTCTTCTCTGAATACACAGAAGACCTCTGGGGGAGTCACCTTGTCCCATGGGCTGAGACTTGGTCTTTCCCAGCCAAGACACCCTGCTGGACAGAGGACGGGGTCAAGTCCAAACAGGCAGCCAGGTCAAGGTTGAACCAGGGCACCAAATCCAAGTGAAGGGAATTGGAACTTGAAAAAAAAATCCAAGCCAAATGAATAAGGACTCAAAAAGTCAAGGAAGTTGTGGGTGGTGGGATTTAAGAGAAGCAGACCATGAGGAGAAGAGTAATTCCGAAGTCAGCAAAAAAACTACCGTTCACCCACTGTGCGTCAGGTCCCAGGTCAAAGGGATTTGACCTTCATCGAGCCCAGCCTGATCTCCTCAGCCAGATGTGCACTCTCCCTTCCTTGAACTCTGCCATACTCTGTGTGTCCCTTTGGCGGGGCCTTTACCATTTTCTACCTCCTCGTATGTTTTCCTCATCTCTAAGAGGGGAGAGGATGGGTGACTTCTGAGGTTCCTTTCAGCTCTGACTGTAATTCTGTGATTTTCTGTTGTGAGCATCTTTTGTTTTTGCTTGACAAGTAATCTTTCCTTTGAAGGATCGCCTGAGATCCCCTGGGTCAGATGGTTCTTTTAGGGGCATCACACTTCCCTGGCCTCCCAAGTCAGGTGGGGCCCAGGCCTGACCACCTATAGTCTCCCACCTCTTGTCCTCAAAGATGCGACCCAGGGGCCGGCCGGATGGCGCAGCAGTTAGGTTCACACATTCTGCTTCGGCGGCCTGGGGTTCGCTGGTTCGGATCCCGGGTGTGGACATGGCACTGCTTGGCAAGCTATGCTGTGGCAGGCGTCCCACATATAAAGAGGAGGAAGATTGGCACAGATGTTAGCTCAGGGCAGATCTTCCTCATACACGAAAGAATTACATTTTTTTATGTTGTCAAAGTAATGTGTGCACATATTCTTTGTAAAAAAATCATGCAGAACTAGAAGACTCATAAGGCAAAGGAGTCCACTGCCCATTCAACCCTCTTAGTCTTCTTTATCTGAGGCTTTCACTTTCAAATTTTTAGCTTTCTCTTCTGTTTTTCTTTTTTTTCACATTTTTAAATAGTACAAACGGTCCCTGACTTAGGATGGTTTGATTTATGATTTTCTGACTTTACGATGGTGTGAAAGTGATACGCATTTAGTAGAAACCATACTTCGATTTTTCAATTTTGATCTTTTCCTGGACGAGCAATATGCGGTAGGATACTCCCTTGAGATGCTGGGCAGTGGCATCCAGCCACAGCTCCCAGAAAGCCACGCGATCCCAAGAGTAAGAACTGGTACACCTACAGCCATTCTGTACCCACGCATCCATTGTATTCTTCACTTTCAGTACAGTATTAGTAAATTACATGAGATATTCAGCACTTTACTATAAAGTAGGCTCTGCCTTAGATGATTTTGCCCAACTGCAGGTTAATGTAAGTGTTCTGAGCACGTTTAAGGTAGGTGAGGCTAAGCTATGATGTTCGGTAGGTTAAATACATTCTCAATTTGTGATATTTTCAATTTACAATGGGTTTATAGGGACGTAAACCCATAATAAGTTGAGGAAGATCTGTACTTGTACTGTTACTTATTGATTTATGCATTTTAGATCTGATCTGTTGACTTTTTATTATGTTACATGACGATTTAGCCCATTTTACCCCCTTTCCCATTGTCTCTCATCCAGCTTATATTTGCTATATCACAATTTTCCTTATTTAAGTCACTGGACAGCATTTATATTATTATGATTTTATAAATATTGCTTACTGATGAATTCTATACTGTGATTATATTTCCTTTCTCTTACAATTTTTTGGTTTTTCCTGGAGCTAATGATTTTTTCACCTGCACAGATTTCATTGTTTCTGTTCTTAGTTTTTCCATTAAATGTGTCATGTTTCTATCAATAGTTTGTTTTAAAATACTCACACTCATCATATGTTCTACCATTTACATTTCCCCCCAGAGATGTTCTTCCTAAGAAACCTTCCTTCCGTCCTTCCAGCCTCTTGCTCCAACCTTACCTGTCACTCTTCAGCCTCCTGCACGGTCATCTCCCCTCAGTAGAAACACTTGTTATTTCTGGTTCAGGAAGATCCAAGACTTTTTGAAATAAACTGAAAACAGCAACCACCATCCCTATAAAGCAACTATAAGAACAAAATAATAATCAAACCTTTTTAGCTAATGAATATACAGCCAAAAAGCAGAGGAAAACTGCACACAGAACTCAACGTGAATTAAATATCATTTAGCAAGCAACGGCAGCTGTAAAGAATATAGAAAAATCAGATATTTAAAAGCTCAAAAAAGAAATGGACACGAAAGAGAAAGCTGTGAAATGAAGACTGACTGAATTCAGGAAAGAAAAAGAAGAAAAAATAATCCTGAGATAGGAGAACTAAATTTTATGGTATCTAAGGGAAAACAGGATAGATTAAGAATTCATAAGGGACCTTGGGAAAAACTTTTTAAATGGTTAGGAGAACCAAAAGTAAATTTGGAAAAGAAGGAAAAATATCAGAGAAAAAGTGAGAGACGTAGAAGATAGACAAAGAAGAACTAACATGTATATCATCAGAGTCCCCAGAGAAGAAAAACATAACAAGAAAACAAAGCTATAATACAGGGAAATTTTCTGGAAATAAAATAAGACATGAATTTTTGAAAGGGATCAAAAGTACGTTGGAAAAGTAGATTCAATATCATTAGGCTCTGGGAAATGCAAATCAAAATCACAATGAGATATCGCTTCACATCCGCTAGGATGGCTATAGTCAAAAAGATAGGTGATAACAAGTGTTGGTGAGATATGGAAATATTGGAACCCTCATATATTGCTAGTAGGAAAGTAAAATGGGGCAGTCATTTTGGAAAACAGTCTGGCAGTTCCTCAGAAGGTCAAACATAGATTTACTATATGACCCAGCAATTCCACTACCCAAGAGAAATTAACACATATGTTCACACAAACGCTTGTACATGAATGTTCATAGCAGCTTTATTCACAACAGCCAAAAAGTGGAAACAACACAAATGTCTATCAACTGATGAATGGATAAATAAAATATGGTATATCCATAAAATAGAATTTTATCTGGGAATAAAAAGGAATGAAGTA